ATTTAGCATATTATATGTAGCTAGCCTTTGTGTCATTTGCATTCAGCTATCAATAAATAATAAAACACCCTTCTTTCCAGTGCAATATACAGTCAGGTCCAGAAATATTGGGACATCGACACAATTCTAACATCTTTGGCTCTATACACCACCACAATGGATTTGGAATGACGGATTTGCAACCAAGTATTAAAAAGGGAAAGTTTGATTTATGATTATTATTCTGTCCCATTACTTTTGGTCCCTTAACAAGTGGGAGGCACATATGCAAACTGTTGTAATTCCTACCCCGTTCCCCTGAGTTGGATGTACATACCCTCAAATTAAAGCTGACAGTCTGCAGTTAAGGCACATTGTGTTTGTTTCATTCCAAATCCATTGTGGTGGTGTATAGAGCCAAAGATGTTAGAATTGTGTCGATGTCCCAATATTTCTGGACTTGACTGTATATTGCACTGGAAAGAAGGGTGTTTTATTATTTATTGATAGCTGAATGCAAATGACACAAAGGCTAGCTACATATAATATGCTAAATCAGTGTTTCTCAACTTTAGCAACTTTAAGATGTGTGGACTTCAACTCCCAGAATTCCCTGAGTTGGATGTACATACCCTCAAATTAAAGCTGACAGTCTGCAGTTAAGGCACATTGTGTTTGTTTCATTCCAAATCCATTGTGGTGGTGTATAGAGCCAAAGATGTTAGAATTGTGTCGATGTCCCAATATTTCTGGACTTGACTGTATATTGCACTGGAAAGAAGGGTGTTTTATTATTTATTGATAGCTGAATGCAAATGACACAAAGGCTAGCTACATATAATATGCTAAATCAGTGTTTCTCAACTTTAGCAACTTTAAGATGTGTGGACTTCAACTCCCAGAATTCCAAGTGGGAGGCACATATGCAAACTGTTGTAATTCCTACCCCGTTCCCCTGAGTTGGATGTACATACCCTCAAATTAAAGCTGACAGTCTGCAGTTAAGGCACATTGTGTTTGTTTCATTCCAAATCCATTGTGGTGGTGTATAGAGCCAAAGATGTTAGAATTGTGTCGATGTCCCAATATTTCTGGACCTGACTGTATATATATTTACTGTTCCATGCACATATATTCTGCTTTTCATACTCGAAGTACAAATTTCAATGCATGAATCAGAAGAGTGCTAAAGTTCTTGATGTATTCCATTACAGCTGTGAGCAAGGAGGAAATTTAACTCCACTGATTCCTTTTCCCAACTATTTCTGCATTTATTTGCTTTTTCCCCCCAAGAAATTTACATGTATATTTATGTACCATTCTTCCAATGAATACATTTTTGCAAGTGATTGATCTTATTTGCACTTTCCTCTAATATAGTATATGAATATTTGTGTCCTTTTGAAAGTTGCAAACTGCAAATATTCAGAAAACAGCAGATATCAGTATATAATTGTGTCTAGTTCACATACACCTACTTAGATCAGCATCTATCCAACCTTGCCTTATCTTGAAAAGTTAAGGAGGTGAAATGTGGTCAGTAGTTGAAAGTGTAGTGGAAGCAGCAAAGGAAGCCATCTTTGCAGCCTTCACCACAAATACAAATTATTAAATGCCTCAATGGTTGGCTGTCCAGTGAGCCCTTCATCACCTCTATTCTAGCTGACTCAAGCTTTTTCTATTGCACATAAGTCCCAAGAAAGCCAGGCTGAGGCTAGGTTTCCACAGTGCCAGAGAGTATCAATGGCCCGTTCTCTTTCCACATTCCATAGGACAATGGTCCACTGGACTCTGGCTTATAGAAATTCCTCATTCTATAGGACAAAGGATCACTGGACTCTGGCTTATAGAAATTCCTCTAAAGAATCCATCCAATTCCATAACTCTAAGTGGGAGGATCATTTTAACTGACTCCCCATCCCTGCAGGAAGGCAGTGATGTTATTAGATTGCAGCCTAACCATGATCATGGGGTCCAATGGTACATGGTAGTGATGAAGGCTATGAAATTCTGGACTGGAATTATAAGACAATTTCAGAATGAGTGTTGAAATCCCCAGGATCACTGTTAACACAACACCGATGTTTCAAGAATCTTGGGTGTTTGGCAGCAGAGTGGAAAAGACACCAACAGTATCCCAAGTCTGTTTTGTTGAATTAACTCCAAGTTATGGCCCTTGTAACTTGCCTCAGTACAAACCGTTCTTTTGGCGAGTGAGATAATATTCCCGTGGAACACAGCAAATCCCCACCTGACTCTCTCTCCGCCCATTATCAAAATCTGAAGCTATGCCATCAGGTATCTGATAGAAAGAGGAGGGACCAGACGGTGTGATGCCCCACAACAATCTATGTCCTTTAGTCCAGGGATAGTTTCTCCTCCTAATCCCTCACCATTTGTAACTAATCATCCCATGAACTGGGGTGGTTCTTGATTCCATTCTTTTCTATCTTGCCTCTCTGCTCCACACACAATCCAACATTCACATGAAAAAAATGAGAGGGGAATAAATAAACAACCCAAAGAGAATTGTAGACATCTACCAAGCCTACAAGGTATGAAATCAAGGATAGGATCCTCAATTTTACTTAGACCATTTTCCTAACTCCTGCCCAAATCGAGTATCTTCCCTATTCTTGAAAAACCCAAAGCAAAAGAAAAAATACGGCAAAGGGTTGATAGGATGTCTCATCAGAAACCATCCTTTCAAGTCATTTAAATGCCCATTTTATTCCTATCTTTCACTATTTCTAGGCAGAAATAGTTTCATTCATTCACAATTCCCATGGAGTCTGCATGGGTAAATTTCTTTCTGGACCCACATATGGCTTTCAGGAACCATTCCCTTTTCTCATTGATTTCAGGCTATGATCTGATGCTTCTTCCTGATGCTTGGCTTTGCCTTTGGACTGGACCCATGTGCATATGTGCTCCTCATCATTTAACTGATGGTCATGTTTGGTTTTCATTCCTTGTGTTATCTCTTTCTGATGTTATACAGATCCTCAGAAAACGACTGTGCCAGAAAAGAAGCTGTATGGCGTGGAAGGCAGCAGCACTTTTCTAGAGTGTCTACCTAAATCACTGCAAGCCAAAGTTGTGTGGACATACCAGAAGACTAGCAGTGACCCCCAGAAGGAGGTACAACCCTAACTGCTGGGTGCACACATTTTTCTACTAGCGACTTACAGTATACTCATGGCATCAACCAGCCATCATTGAAGCAATATAGAGGCTGTCCTCATTACTTATTTTTGGATAGTTGGATTACTCTATAAAACGCTATAAGTTATAGTGTATTTTATTTATTCAATCATTGATTCATGCATTCCAATTTGTATGCCACTCCAATCATAATGACTGAATAGCTAACCACAAGGCCATACAGAGAGAAACAAGAGGGAAACAATTAAAAATGCTCCAGTAAAAACTTGCCCCTCAACTTGCTGTACCACACTTCCAGGGTAGTGTAGTCTATATTCATTCCCCAAAGCCTTCCTAGCAAGTCATGGTTTATAGTTTTTGGAGAAAATAACAAGGAAGGAATGGTCTAGATATCCAAGGGCAAGCTGTTCCATAAAAAGAGGGCCATGAAGGCTCAGCTATGGGGTCCCTGCAGATGTCATTCCTTTCATGGGGGGATCCTCAGCAAGCCTTCTCTACCTGATCTTACCAGATGGATGGAATCAACCCAAAGCAGACCAACTAAGAGATACCCAGGGCCTCAGCCATATAGAGCTTTAAAGGTGACAGTTAACATCTTGAATTGCACATGAATGCTAGTGGTGATCCCACCTTTGTCTGAACAAATGTGAAACAAGGCTAACAAAATTGAGTGAGACTAAGTTCATGGTATGCTTTAGCCTCATAAATACATATTCCTTTCCTGTCCCCATTCATCTTCAAGGCACTTTCCCTGCCTCTATTTTGGTTAACACCATTCTTGTAATGTATGGATCACAAGGCTTATACCCCTATCTCCTTGTGCATCTCCTATCATCTGATGGTTTCCCTCTTTTAGTTCAGACTCCAACCCTCGTCTCATATGTAAGTGGTTACCAGCAGAATTGATGTTGGTATTAATACACATAATTCTAACTACTGTTTTTGCTAAAAAAAAAAAAAAACAACCCAAGGCATAACAAATCTAAAATTGAACAATACCATAATAAAGCCCCCTGAAATCATTAATTAAAACATTAAAACATTGAACACTATAAATTAGGAGGCATATCATCAGCTTTTCTAGAAGTGAAGTGAATGGGGGCAATTGCATTACTGAAAGGAATCCATTCCACAATTTTGGAGCAACATTAAAGAAAATGCTTTTCTCTCTCTCTGACAAGCATGTTCCCTAAGTACCAATGTCCTTAAAGGATCTTTCCTGCAGATTTCAGTAATAAGACAATTTCATAGTGAGGCATAGAGTTCCTCTGATTTCTGGATTGTTAATGCCAGTTTCATTTGTCTGTATTTCATTAACCTCCAGGTATTGCTGGATGATCGGGTCATCAGGATGGAGCGGGGAATCCTGTTGCGCAATGTACAGCACAAAGATGCTGGCTTGTATTATTGTCATGCAACAGAGCATGGGTTTACCCAGAGTCTGCTGCACCTCCAGCTTGAAGTGATCAATGCACAGCAGGCTGACTCTCTCTCCCTCTCTTGGGAAGAGGAATCCACACAACCCTTCCATCGCAAACTTTGGTATCAAGATTTCTTACAGTTGGTGGATCATCCCAATCTCAGCACCATGGACCAGGTGTGCGAGCAATTATGGAGCCACAAGAGCCACCAGCCCAAGAAAAAGCCCCCTCCATTGCCCCCTTTATTTAGCATCAAGTCTAAAAGTCAGAAGTGGAAACATCTGGAGGAAAAGCGGAAACCCCGCAGCCGAAGAACACATGAAGTGCCTCGCGCAGAAAGGGCTCCTCGGAGCACAGATGTCTGGTGACCTGTAGAGGGGCGCACTTATACCAATCTCTGTGCTGGGAAGGGCCAGGGAATCAGGGTGGGGGTATGGGAATAGGGGTGGTAGGAGAGAAAGAGCAGGATCTTTTATGGCTTCTGTAGTTGGGTGGAAAGAACATCCTTCCACACCAGCCCCATACTCCTGGGTGCTGCTTCTTGTGTAGTTTGTAGGGGAAATAGTAATGTTGGTGTCATAGCATAGCTGCTACTCCTCAAAATCTTGACAGAGAGCCACAGAACCTGAGTAAGAACAGGGGAGGCTCTGCACTCCTGGCCTGTTCATAATACACAACCAAAGATGAGGATACCAGCCTCCAAGGACCAAATGCACCAGAGGCCACATCCTGAACATCCCTGACCAGTGAGAAGGAAAATAGGCAGAATTCACTGGGAAATACAATTCTTTTCTGCAAGGATCCAGTGGCTGCCAAACTGCTACCTAAGGACTTCTGGTGCTCTATATCTCTGGAGCTTCCACTGATATTCTGTCATCCCCTGACAAGGACAGCACTTGGATGCCTCTCACAATGTATTCTGTCTAAATCTTGGAGCAGGATGTTGACCCTCTTTCCTCTCCCTTCCTTATCCAAGCATAACTGCCTTGTGTGCTTAAGTAGCCATAGTGTGTTCCACCTCCAGAAACACAACACAACCACTGATGTATTTATTAACAGACTGTTTACTGATGAATGTAGTCCACCTCTGGGTGGCCATCAAGATTTAGCCTCTAATGGAAGGAACGGGGCTGTTGTTGCCCAGAGGACTTGGAGTTCATTTCTGACTGAAATTTTCTGGGTGTAAGTTTGTATGAGAAGATATTTCAAGTTGTGATGATGGAGATGCAAAAGTAGAGGAACCAAGCAGCAGAAATTGCCCCCTCTCATTTAGTCAGGGCCCCAGAGGGTTTTTTGCTAGCCTGAAACCCATTCCAGGGAAAGAGCAGTCCAGAAGATTCCTGCTATGAGCCACAGTTATGGGACTTCTGGAGAACATGTAGATACTGGAAATTGTTTAAGGTTGTGATCATATTGGTATGTGAAGAAAACATCTGCCCCTGCTTTGAACTGTATGTCTCCCATTGTTCCTGCTAGAGAGATTAGCATCAACCAACATTTGATTCCTATGTAAATCTGGTTGGGGACCCGAGCTGCCAGCCACCAAATCTCAGATGTAATCCTGAAAAAGGCTAGTGCCACCAAGAGCCCATTTGGCTCACTTTCAAGCCTCAGTTTTGGAGCAATTTCTGTGGCACTCAGAAAGACCATACTATTCTCAGCCTATTGCTTAGATGGAATAATCTGCCTTTCAGAAAAGCCCTGATCATCCTTTTGTTTGTTATTCTGTGGAAAAGCAAGCTTTAAGATGCAGGTATTGACTTGAAAGTGATAGCAAGCTGGAATGGGCTATGATCTGAGGACCAAGTCGGTAATATTCCAAGTCCACTGGAGTTGGGTGGTCAATAAATTTAGATAGATAGATGCTAGATAATGGACAGACAGACAGACATGCAAGGTGTATAAGCAGTTTCTCTGGTGTATACCAGCAAAAGTTATGGCTAGCCCTACTTAATCTAATTGAGGCTGGAATGGACAATCCCAAGGAAGATGTGGGACTGACTTGAGAGTGACATGATGTTTGATTGGACTGCAATCTGGAGATACAGCAGAACTAATAAGTAGGCATTAAATCTGCATTGTAGGTATGTAACAATGGAAATGCACATTTCTAAAGCCAGCTTCTCAATTTTACATTCTTGGATGTGAGCTGCCCCTAAATTGTCCTGCAAGTGAGAAAGGTTTGAGATGATCAGGCCATCTGAAGCCTTAATGAGTCCAGAGACAGTAGGAGGGTTTTTTATAATATTCTTTGCCTTTTATTCCTTTTGAGAGACTTCTGCTGCTGTGTCTCAAAGCATTTCCATTCACTTTTGTAGTCTGAAAAAATGTTGTACATAAAATATTTGGAAGTTGGAACAAATCTCAGATATTCTACAAATTGCTGTGCTTTGGGTTTTCTCTTTCTCTCTTACACAGTTCTAATTTTAAAAAAAAATGTTTTGCAATGAAGTAAACCATTGTACAAATTATCTGGAGTTAAATGATGAGACATAAACTGCAAATAGGACTTCTTAAATTTGTATAACTGCAGTTTCTCACTGCTGATGTCAAACACAATGGAGAACTCAGAAATATAGTCGTCTTAGTGATATGGGGAAAAGATCTCCCTTAGTCCTCCTGTCCCCTGGATCATCTTCAGAACAATGCCAGTCTTGGACACTGAAGTACATTAACCCTAGAAGAATTATGTTAGTGACTGAGGTGGCTGGGTAGATGGATGAATAGACAGAGAGAGGGAAAAAATATGTTTCAAAACTCTGTCAGTCCTTGTGCCCTTAGGAGGAGAAAACTAAGTTTCTGGAATAGTTCTCCAGAAAAAAGATCACTTTCCATTTCAAAATACAATGGTTTTTTTCCCCTACCAGTTCTCATTCAATTTTATAAAATAAGTTGTTATTTCATCTTTTTAAAGGGGAAAAGAGAAATTCTCCTGGGTAGAATGTGTGTTTTTAAAGTGTCCAAAACCTGTTCATGAATGTCCTGTTTTTTATTGTACAACCATGATCTCTCCAGAGTTCTGCAACCCTGGTAACTTTTCATATTTCAACTAAATTGCAAGAGAAGATGTCCCGGGGGCTTTTCCTGTAGCAGTGCCATTGCCCCTGCTATCCTTGAGAAATCATCGGGATAATTTGTCCCATAATTTGGGAGGGATTTTGAAATGCCTTTGGGCACAGCTCTAAATACGGAGGTCAGATCCAGACACCAGGCAGAATGTGGTGGCATCGCCAGGCAATGGAAACTAGACCAGGGAGCAGTGAGGAGGTGTCAGACGAAGGAGGTGTGTGTGACAAGATCTTCCCAGTACACCCACACTCTGCCATGTTAGAGAACACTGACTAACAGCATATTTGAAGTTCGATTCAGTGACTGGTTTGATCAAATGTAGTCCCACATTTATTGCATGATATGTTTTCTCCAAGTGATATCAAAGATACCTGAGTGGGCACAGCTGGAGCCCGAGAGATAAACATAATCAAGGAATTAAGACTTTCCACAATATAATCACAGTAGTTTTATGAGGAATGTTTCATATTCCTTATATGTTTCATTCTTTCTCCTACCACTATGAATTGAAATGGAGAGTCTGATGAGATCAGGTGAATCTATAATATCACAGAGCATCATATCTAATATCAGCCTCCTGTGTTTTGTACATAGTCTACACATACCAAGCCAATTGTGAAGAATGCAGAAATGTATACTTTGCCATTTGCACTTTTTGTTTTTGTTTTTTAATGGAAATGGTGGAAGGAATCTGATCCAGTCAAGAAAACCTGACCCATATATGCCAAACATCCATGCACTCACATAATGTTTCGTTTCCTGTAATTTCTAAACTTAGATCTATTTTCTTTTTAAACAATCCAGTAACATTTTTAATCTAATAAGCTTAAAAATTGATGGATTGCATTATTTTGTAAGAATGTTCTTTTCTTTAAAGAATATCCCATCCACGTGTCCAGAAAAAATACATATATTGATCATGAACTATAAGCAACAGAAAATCCTACTTTGGAATCTTTCTGTGTTGGCCATTAAATAACATAACAGGTTAAGCTTCAGGACTTGCTTGGTATTTATATTCAACTCCTCAGAATGAACCATCATATATTAATGGAATGCACACTGTAATCAAAGTTGTGAATTGCTCACAAATTCTGCATGCTGAGAAATTCTACGCTGTTCTTTTAATAAGTAGAACAGAATGTACAATGTAGCTTCACAATCAGCCCTAGCAGCCTATATCATTCAGGATATAACTGGATGTATGTCAATACTGGGACACATTTTTGAAATCCAAAGCATTTTTTAAAAATAAAATGTCGCAGGAAACAGGTTTCTGATCTGCGTTTGCACTGCACTTCTCTGGTAGGAATTGCACTAATTCCCTGCCCAGGTTGCTCCCCTAAGATGGAGGCTACCAGAGACCTCATGGCATTTCATCCTGCATGTATTTACAGAGCATTGGCTGAATACAGCGTAGCCCTCAGACAGTCCAAAGAATTGTGAGGCGAGGGGCCTGCCCCCCGTCCAGCTCTCGGCTCTTTCAGGCAGTGTTTCGCAACCTTGGCAACTTTAAGATGCGTGGACTACAACTCCCAGAAGTCCTCAACACTGCTCTTCGGTAATGCTAAGGGGCGGAGCGTTTCCAGAGCTTTGAAAAATCGCCCCGACCCGTTGCATTCGCAGCTTTCCTCATTCTGGTGCGGAGTGGCTTTCGGAGCGACTCTTTTCCCCCACGCCTTAGCTGCGGGACGGGTTGCAGGACATTTAATTTAACCCAAGAGTCAGCCGGGGGCATCTAGTTTGTAAAATGAAATAAGCATCCAGCACTCTAGCAGGACGAAAAAAAGAAAGGGCGCCCGGCTGCCGCTTTAGCTAGCTGCCTTTTGCGGACTCTGAGCTGCGGAAGAGGGCGCCGGGCGCCAGCCCGCCAGGGCAGCTCCGCGGACGTAGGAGGGACTGCGCAGGTTAGGCGACGCAAGCCTGAATCGGGCGGGCGCGGCTGAGAACCCGCCCGGAGTTGTCACGCCTTTTGTACGGAATCTGAGTTTCGTTTCCAGCATAGGAGTGTCCCTAATCGTGACGGGGTCGTTGGTCCTGAGAATGCTAGCAATATGGCAGGTTTTCTTAACCACCTTGCTTCGGCACTCCTTGTCAAGATTTTGTTTCTTTCGAGACCCCTGGCCCTTCAGCCTGGGAGCTAAACCGCGTGCTCGTGGCCCCAAAGATGGTATGCGCAGCAGCTATTGTGGGTGTTAAACCGATCCTCGCTTTCGTATATTCCCCGCCTTTCACCCGCTCGTTCATCACTTTCGTTTCTGGCTGCATGAAAAAAAAGCCTCTATGCCCCGAAAATGTCTCCGCCCTCAAACTTTTAAGGTAGTCTGTGAAACTACTTTTCGGACCCCAAAACGTTGGTATATTTAGAGGCAGAGAAGCTCAGTTAGTAACAGCTGTCTCAAAATGTATTTTGTAGGTTTTATTATGTTAAAAGAATTCCGGCATTTTTATGATAGCTACCATGAAGGGCAGGGTTTTTTTCCCCCAATATAGAGACAAATAGCTATTTTGTTTTACTCAGATGCAAAATGCTCTCTTATTATTTTTTTGGTACGGTAATTTCACAATATTTAATCTGATTTCATTTCAATTGTTTTTATTTCGATTCAGCTTTTATATCCATTATTTGAAAGTACATGACTGAGAAATCTGAAATTGCACAGTGTAGTCCACCTTAACAACTTGTGTTGTGACATCAGAGAGAGGCAGCAAGATAAATAGAGTTGGGTGGGTCCTGCCTGTAGCAGAATGCAGTGTTTGACAGAAAGAATGGAGCTGTATGCCACCTCCTCTAGAAGACTTGACGACTATATTGGTAAGAACCTTCAGCCCAGCAAGGAGTTCCAACAGAATGTCCAAGATGCTATCAACAGAATTTGTTCTTTCCTGAAGAACATGTGTGAAATGGATGCAAGGGTGATCAAAACAGTCAAGGTGAGTCTTGCTTGCTCTGACTAACCCAACTCTAGTGAGATTACTTCCCAGATTGAACGGCACTGGCTCTCTTAGGCCATCATGCCAACTTAGTTAAGGACATCAAGTACCTACCCCTCTTTCTATTCTGTGAGTTCAAATATGTAGATTAATTGATCCAATCCAAATGTGGGTGCTGAGGCTAGGAAATAAATGCCAGACTTCATGGCAGGCATTTGGCCATGCCCTTGAAAGATCTCTCAGGAATTGACAGGAATGCTGGGTTCACTGGGGTGATCTTTTTGATGGGAGCAAGAAAGTCACTTGCCATAAAGAATGTGAAAGAGACCTCTTCTTGCTGTTACATCATATGCAGTGACCCTGAAACTCTGGAAATTTCCTATGTTCTGATGAAAGGTATGCTAGAAAGAGTTAAAATTGGCTTTTTCACACATTTTCTTTTGCCCATCAGCACTGATCTACTTACTTGTCAGCACTGGTACAGGGATAGTTGATGGAGCAGGAAAGGTAGTAGTCTCTCTTCATGGAAGCATCTGGTGTGGGTTTGGAAGAGACCCAAACAGGATGGGAGCCTTATGATAGGCTGGTCCCTGTCATCAAAAGACGTTGCCTTAGGAAAACATCCAAGAACAGGCATCCTTGAATTTTACTTTGGCTTATTAGTCATCCTTGATTTGTGATCAAGTGATAGCATTTTGCACTGATCCCCCACCCATCTTTCCACACAGTCTGCAGTTTCCCTTTGACAAGCAGTTTGCACACCAGCATTGTGTATGCTGCATTGAATCATACCACACGGTATAATAGGCCAGCTTTAAGGTGACACAGAACTGTTCCACAGCAGCATTAAAAATAGTAATCCATTAATAAAAGGGCTGTACACAGAGTAACTCAATTGAAGCTTCAAGGTTACTCTGCAAAGCACCATAGCACCTCGCTTCTCAATGGTGGAATGGCTGCAGTGTTGCCTCACTGGTCAAAAATGACTTCTGTCAAAATAAAGTGACAGGTTCAGACAAATCCTCCCCTCCCCCACCCTGGGTAGTTCTGGTCAAAGTGCCCAGGTGCATTCTTGACTCACGGACACAAGCACATTGACCAATCACACTCACTTCAGCTTCCTCTAATAAAAGACAACTCCTTTTCCTCATTACCACCATAAAATCTTCCTCAGCAGCATTTATGCTGGTCTTTTCTAGGTAGGAACTAAGTGAATGTGATGGGTTAAACAGCAGTGAGTTTGACTTTTATAGACTAAAGATATGTACAAAGATCCTTCATGGATCACTGCCTTGTCGTGGCGAAGGGGCTTGCGTAACTAAGTGAAGCCATGAGCTATACCGTGCAGGGCCACCCAAGACGGACAGGTCATGACAGAGAGTTCTGACAAAATGTGGTCCTCTGGAGAAGGAAATGGCAACCCACTTCAGTAGCCTTGCCAAGAAAACCCCATGG